CAGCACTTACCAGCACTCAGCTTCTAGCTTCGAGGGTCACTTATAACGATCAAGTAGTAAGTAACTATATACATCTTATTGTTTATTTTTAATTAAACAACACGCTTTCGATATGGTCATTTATTAAAGATAATCTTATAAACTATATTAACAAACTAGAATAGAATTATAACAATGAACAGAGAATAGTACTGTGTCGAATATATAATTTATTTGTTTTTGTGAAATAAGAAGAAGGACTAGTACAGACTATTTTCGACATGTATCCGTGTATATCACCTTCCTTTTTTCTTTTTGTTATCAAATAATTCAAAGTAAAAAAGGATTATTGTTTTCTTAAACACTGTTTAAAACTTCTTTCACGGTTGTTTACAATTGCATAAAATAATATAAAGGGGATATTTATTATTTAAGAGCTCTCATTATTTTGACGCTGTTGTAAATGTTCTGGTCACGGGTCATCTGGAGATGGCGGTGGCGGTGGATGTAAACGATTATTACCAGCCACAAATCTGACTTCCTGGTCTTTTTTGTAGTTTCCCCGAGCACATATTTTAACAGAATATTATTCCATACGAAATATAAAATACACTTAAAATCAAAACTGTATAATTAAGTTCCATCAAGAACTTACAATACAATTAGCTAATTATGTAAACTATATAAATGATACCATACGTACCTATATCAATAAATTTTTCTCCAATATATAGCAGAAGAAATATTTAGAATAGGCGTATATATCCGTGGCTTTCCTCTTTATACTGAAGCTGGGAAAACACCAGCTAGAAATGAAGTGTGGTTTTATAAATGTTATTATTTATTTCCCTATGGCGTTTGTTGTTTAATAATAAATACGGGATACGTATTTGCTAGAGATTCAGTATTTAAACTGTTCATTATTTTAAAAACTGTATGGATTATAAATCGGTGTTTGTATTCTGCTAATTCTTCTAATATTAGCAGCTGACATGAAGCACCCGTAGTTTAAAGGAGCTTGAGCAGGGTGCATCGGTCCAGCTGGAGGTCCGTAGTACATTCCTGGCTGGTACATTCTTGTATTATAAAAGGCAGACTTCGCTGATTGATTGTAGAACCCCTGAGTAGGAGCATCGTGAATGGGAAATTGATGATAGTATGATGGACGTTGCATTCTGGAAAAGGAAATAAAATATTAATTGATTCATACATAAAAATACCAAGAAAAATTATTGTTATAAAATTCTATGAGAATATTTTATAAATATTACACTTTCATTATAGAGTACATCATCTTTATCTTCTGTTTATTTACATATGGGCATATCAGCAGTGTTAAATAATATTATTTATTTGAAAACGACACTGTATATGATATGAAAATATTACATTACTATTAATATATGCTATATTAGTAGTAATCTAATATTTTCATTTATGAACTCCGGTTATGTATACAACACATCACTAACCTTCATAAATATTAATTTATCATAGATAAGAAATATATAAGTAATATTTGAATTTTACTGTTATCTTTAGTTAAAATTAAATAACCACTTTTTTAAAATTTAATAAACTATTTATTATTTTACCAAAACTGTTAGATGAATATATACTGACTTGATAGAAATTTCAGGTAATTCCGAATGAGAACTGAAGGTGTAAACACTACACTGTATTGCTTACTTTGCATTGAATCATCGACTGCAATACGTATTTATATTAAAATGTTATCAGATAATATTTTAGATTATATCTATAACCATTGCAGATTATGTCAACAAAAAAATTGTATACTTATTACCACAGTTATCATTGAGTACATTTGTTAAGCGATTTTGGTAGGCAAATTCGGGAAACAATAGTAATATTGCACGTACTTATATTTAATACTAGCCACCCCCGCGGTTTCGCCAGTGTTAAATTTCCGTATATAAATTTCAATATAAAACATAGCCTATGGGTTATTCTGATGCAAAAGCTATATTACTGTAAAATTTCATAATAATCCGTTCAGTAGTTTTTACGTGAAAGTGTAACAAACATCCATACTGACAAACTTTCGCGTTTATAATATTACTAGCTGACCCGGCGAACTTCGTAACGCCTAACAGTCTATTCTTTATTTTTTTAATACTTATTCTGCTCTGATTTCTTTAATGTTGTACTTCGGTCAGTTGTTGTTCAGTCGATTTACTAAATACTATACTATGTTAAGTAAGTATATGCCAACAATATTTACACTCATCCTACAAGCTCATAGTCCAAACATGTAATTTCTAATAATATCTTCTAATATATAAAATTCTCGTGTTACAGTTTTTATAACAGAACTCCTCCGAAACGGCTTGACTGATTCTTATGAAATTTTGTGTGTACTTTCAGTACTTCTGACAGTAGGATATACTAGTAGGATAAACTATTTTTCATCCCTTATGGATAAGTCTGGTCCACCTAAAAATTATGTTTCATTACCTACATGGACATTATTATTATTTTTACCCCTCTATAATTAATCCCCATTTTTAATAGCAATATTATTACTTTAATTTATATGACAGAACAACAAGTCAGCGAGCTATATAAATAATTTAAAGATATATTTATCTATATAGCATATATATGTACGTCGATTGAGACATTAGTATGCATTAAATTCTTTAACAAGTTAACTGCACATTCCATCACGCTCAGTCTCAGTTTTCCGCAGTAAGTTCAATTTTTTAATTAAAGTTTAATTTAATATTCTGTTCATGTATATATTAGAAATTAACTATTTTGGAGTTTACCATTTTTCGAAATATGTAATTTGTATATATAATCATTCAAGTATGCTTATACTTTGCACTATATTATTTATTATTATTACACTCTAACTAGACTCAAAACTAATCGATACTCTCCATCCTATAAAGGTTGCCTGGAAGATTTCGCTTTTCAGCGTTACGACCGCCCGCTGTTGCCTCTTTCTCTTGCTCATTGTTTATTCTATTAAGATTGACAATAAAGGTTTTACATTTAGTTTCATTCTTTATGACAAGTCTTTTTCCAGTTTACATGGTACCACTTCAATGCAGATATTTATCTGTTACAAAAGCTATGCGTTATCCATCTAGACAGCGTCTGTTTCGATGCACACACAAGTAGGTATGCTTACATACAGTATTGTTACAAATCACTACATCGCATCAAAGTTTTCGATACTAATATTCTAACGACAAAATGTCGTCATAGTTTATTTACTTATGAATCGATATTCTGTTATTGTTTTACAATGATAAGTCTGTCTGTCGCTTTTATATCATTACTGTCAATCTGATAACAGGTCGTCCCAGTTACAGGCTGCATAACATTAATGAAACATTACATTGTTTGCATGCCGAACAAATACTAAATATGCATTGTTTATTTCAAACAAATCATGTTTAATCGTATAAGCATTTGAGTCATTGTCTTCAGTCATAGTACCAAAGATATCGTTTCAGTTTATTATAAAGTATAGTATTATATATTTTTTTAATAAAATCCCTGAACTATTCACACAGCACCATGAAGTCCCAAGGTAAGCAGGGCTTGTGTTATGGGTACTAGATAACTGTTATAAAGACGTAGATATTTTTTTATAAATACATACATAACATATGTACATAGAAAACACCCATCATACCCATGAATACAAATGTTTGTGCTTGAATCGTGAACCCGCGTCCATCGGAAGTAAAGCGGTATGCCAAACTGCTAGCATATCTAGTGTGCTAAACCGTCAAACATTATCTACCTATAATGAATACAGCACCCAATTCTGCAGCCAATAACTTACTTTGCCAACTGTAAACGCAGTTGAAGGATACGGAAATAAAGGTATGAGCTACGGAGGCATAGCACTTTATTCCTTCTGAGAAACCGCGTCATATTTTATGACGTCCTTAATGCTCTTTATGTACCCACATATGTATATGCCACTTTCTGTGATTTGCTATTCCAGTTTCATAAAAATTAATATAGGACTATCAGAATAGATAAAGAAAAAATAATTTATCCACTGTTTACAAAATACGAGCTGAGACAATAACGTTTTATTAGGTATAGTTACTAGTTACTAAAGAAAAACTACAATGTGCAACGGTTACCTGACAAGCTTGATATAGTAGCGAAATTTACCGTAAGCTTAAATAAAATTCAATATATAGGTATATATTTTTTAATAGCATCATCGCTTACACATACTTTGTTCTTTGTCTATAGGCCTTGAAATGTCTTTGTGACATCTTTTTTCAATTAATTACGTACCTTTATTACGTGCAGATACGGATATGGATATGAATTATGTTTGCAGATGTATTTAAAACAATATAACTGCATAAGTATTATATAGTTTATATGACATTTTTATAGCCCATAAAAATAAAATTAATAGCAAAATATCAGTCAGCCTTCCATATCATCTTAGCCTAATCCGAACATTCTATTTATAGAAACGTTTAAGTACTATTCACTGTTTGTTCTAAAAATGGAAACAACGTAAATGCTGCTATTTATTGTGATAAATTTAAGTACGACGATAAAGAGTAAATACGATAAGATTATTCCCACCTATTTAAATATAGTGTCCATTCAGTGCATTCGCCTAATTAATGCATACTCAAATGAGAATATGGAAATAAACTCAACTATCTATCCACTTTTGGATATAGGCCTTTCCTTTAGGGTGTTCGCGTAGTTTGTACAACATATCATTACAATAATTTATATTATAATTTTCACTTTCATTCTTAGAGCAATAGTGAAAGCAATGTGCATAGGTTATTTTATTTAACGGCTAAAATATTTTTTATATCCTAACTCACGACACAAGGCCATTTTGCTCTCTGGTTACTATTATTGTGTGTGGACAAAAATATTATCAACTCAAAACAAAAAAGTAGAAATTTTACTATTTATTTTAATTGAGGCGCTTCAAATGATTAAAACCAATTTTATACAAAAAAAAATTATTTATTATATTAACAAATTTGACTACTATTTTTCTAGTTCACTCGTATTTTTAAAACGCGATTCACTTCTAAGACTTCTGTTCTCGTCAGTTTCCTCATCTTTCCTTAATTTTCTGACATCATCTGATATCTCTAGCTGTATACTTTTTTTTTCGTTGACATTATCTTCTGTTTTTCTAGCCACTAATAATTTTGATGATGTATACGCCAACACTTGTATAATAGCAATGCCAATACCCGGTAGTAACCACGCATCAGGCATTGTTGATACGGTTCTGCTATAGAGTAGTGAGTAAAGGGGTGAAGTTATAGTTTGTGTTGCTGATTCCAGTGCTCCTAATACACTGTATATTTTACCTGGAACAATAGAAAATATATTACATATTAAATAAAAAGATTTTGTTTTATAAACGTAAGTAAAAGGTTCTAGTTTTTACAATAAAAAATATACGTATTTGAATCAGGTGTCTAGTACCCAAAACAAGCTCTGCTTGGCTTGAAACTAGTTTGCGCTGTGTGAATTGTCCAGGATTATTATTATACATATTATTAGGAGAAATAACAAAATGCATAAAATCATAAATCATAGGGCTATTAACCTTGTACATATTTGGGCATTTAGGTATGTAGAGCCAAAACTCTTAAGGATGTTAAGTTGCTTCCAGAAGCTTAGAGGTTTTCTTGTAATAATCTCTCTTCTCACTCTAGAGGTTTCGAAGCTACATACTATATACTGTTTAGAGAATTTGTTTCGGAGACCACTCCATTCAGGATTATATGAACTTTTAGTAATCTATCTATACTATAATGGCTCTATAGGCACTTTTCCAGTACATTAAATAATTTAAAAAATCTATCGGGAGACGTTGCAGAGATAGTCCTCAACATGTTATTTTTTTTAGAATTGTCCTTTGTTTAAACAGTTATCACTTTTAAACCGGTGAACGGTATTCACGGAAAGTATTACAAAAAATGGTATTAGTCATCATACAAATAAACCGTGTAGTACGTGTTATCAGATGTAAAATTAGTTCGTAATATAAAGAAATCAGAATGAATAAATCTTTATCGATGGTTGAAGTCGACATATTGTCTTTGTTTTTGTACATTAAACGCAATATGACATTCGTCATTTACAGGGAAAAATACTATGAGTAGCTGTTTAGCTGTAAACGCAGGCTGTAAACAAAGTAACGTAGTTTTCAATATTCATTAGTTTAATATCAGTGATAAATGAAAGGAAAAAAACAGTAAGTGTAAACAGTCTAAAATAATAGAGTGGTTGTCATGTATTCAGGAAATAAACAATACAAATGTTTATTGTTCTTCTCTATAGATAAAAATAATGGCGACGTGCTTACAGTCACAAGTAACGGTTTAATCATTGGAAGACATCTAACAATTACTCATGTCTCAACCCATGTGACCAATGCGGATTTCATATCAACTCATACGGCGCAAGTTTGTTATTATAAAACGGGAATGGTCAACAAGCTTACGGCCTGCCTTAATGGTAAGTGATAGGGGGAAGCGGGTTGTTAGTAATGGGAACTAGTAATCCCCATTGCTAGCAATGTACCATGTTAGGTCGGCCTCCACGCGGTTTCTCCTGGAAACCATTGTGATAAATTCCTGGTGAATTTGTCAAGATGGGCTAACTATAAAATTTCCATTGCACTGGAATTATTAAGTCATTTTGCATTTTTTACTCAGGAATGGTGATTATTGCTGACTCATGGTGACTACGCCAAGAAAACCTCCTCGCGGTCCCTCCTAACATTAATCGGACTAGATTATCCTATCATTGTTTACTGGTGGCCCGCCAGCAAATACCATTAGTGCAAGCGAGTGCACTGTACCAGTCATCCACAAAAATAAATCTACACGTGAAGAAACACTGCGTAATATTTTGTGTTTCTTGATTGTTATTTTATATTTCTGAACAAATAATGTGTTCATCATAAATAAAGGTAATATCCTGGAGATATATTGTTGTAATCATCAACAATTTATAATACTACCTTTAAAACAAAATTAATCAAATTCTAAGTAATGCGATACAATGAATCGTTTTTTTCTATATATTCAGTGAGTTTTAAGGTGATGAAGTAATGACGTTACTTGTTTACCCACAATTCAATAACTGTAAATACTGATATAAAACTGAGGCGTCACGTACACCTAGTTTATTTGTAAAGTCGACAACAGTTAATGGTATGATTTTGGGAATTTTCAAGATCACTCATAGAACAACTGTAGGTACAAAATGACAATAATAAAAAATGTTAATCCTATAAAATTTCGACATAAAAGACGATGATGAAAAATCTACAATTTTATTCAAAATATATAATATAATATATATTTTGTATAAATAATACGCATTTTGTTTCAAATCAGGCAAAACATTTGTGTTAAAACAGTAGCAGACATTCTGCTGTGAGCAATATAATGCATATTACCACAGGCGCACTCCACAACCACCTCTGATCGATGGCAAACGTCGCGTCGATGACGGCATCACACAGTCGACCAGGAAGCACAGTTCATCACCCGATATATATGAGCTCCAAACAAAAAGGCCCCCCCCTTTTTGTTTGGAGCTCATATATACTCCACCCCTATGTAATTTAAAAATTGTTAAGTTGTTGCAATAAACGCTTCATGAGAAGAGGTCACAAGTTTCATTTAGAACACTCTTCCTTACCACAAGGCCACTGATACGCACTCCAGGATTACGTGAGCGGCCGTTAAAAATTGTAGTTAAAATATATATATATATGTATAGTTAAGTACTGTTATCAGTTATCTAATAGTCTGTTTATTAACGAATGTTTAAGTATTATATATTTAAAGTAATAACTATATATGTATATACTCTTACCTTGTTCAGTTGGTAAAATTTGTTTATTCATTAGAGGTCTCTGCACCACTTGAGATCCTTGTGAAATTATCCCAACTATAGGAACTGCAAAAAAGAAAAGCATAATCTATATATTAATATATGAAGAAAAAAAATTTGTACCCCGTATTACGAATATTGCTCGGAAGAAGGAATATGAGTTTCGCACAAATACAGTTTATATAGAGCGCAATGTTAACAGTTAAAAAATATATGCCTAAAAATTATTGATGTAATACCTAATAATAAAAATATTATACACACTACAATACTATACTATACATGTTATAAAACAACCCGCTGCGTTTGTCTGTAAGATCAATAACCTCTAAAATGTTGGACGGCTTTTATACTGGAACTGAGTCTTTTATATATTCGTAATGTCACATATGATACAATACATAATAATACAATAATAACGATACTCGTGTGTTGTTATTCCAGAGTATTAAGATGTCTACAACCAAACCACAGCTTACAAAGTAAGCTGATTGGCGACTGAAATACGCAGACGACTTTTTACAGTCTGGTGAGTGATTTCTGAGGGAGGTATATATGTAATATAGTCAGGGCCGGTTGTAATAAATTAGAAAATCCTTTTTTTAAATAAACTTCATTAAAACATTATTGAATAGTCATAGTTTTTTTTTTCAAATCAACCACTCATTCGGTAAGTGTTATAAATTGTACTTACTTATAAAGACAGCGAGGGTAGTGGTAGCAAGAATGAGGCCAATCGAAGCAATCCCATGTGTCGCACAGCTGAGGGCACCAACAACCTCATCCGAGAGACGTAGTCGCTGTTTCAGAATCGACAAGATTATAAGAGTTCCTGAAAGACACAGTACGTATATTATAAACAAATTCAAAATAAAATTGTATAAGTAGCAATTATGCCTTAAATCTTATAATAAATTAATGTCTCACTACCTCGCTCTCTATAGCTCTGTTTAGTCATAGAACGAATGACGTTCACCACATTTATATCATACGTTAAATTCAAATTACTATAATTTGCAACAATATTATTCTAAAGATCTTCAATTGTAGAATAAATTTGCTACAAATTATTATTGCAATGGCTGTTTTCTTATTATTATTTAGGTATATTAATATTTATAAATAAACCGATATAATAATATAATCTCAATTATATCCAGTAAATTGTGAAAGTATCTATTGTTTCCGTCATTTCTTATCTGTAATAGTACGTGTAGAATTTGGTTAAAGTTGGAGAAATTATGAACCTGCTTTCTTCAACTTTAACCAAATTGTATAGAATACTGCTGTTTGTTTCCTATGGATGTCGAAACAATGATGTAGTAAACATTAATGTGATTATGTTAATGTTTGTGTCGTATGAATATCGAACCGGAAAATCATAGGATAAGGTAGTGTGTTAATTTATTTTAGTTTTTTCAAGGTTTATCAATCGTCGTAATGATTTTTATAAATAATTCCTTGACAATTATTTAAGACGTATTTACCATAAAGCAAGCAAAGTCTTTATAATATGTAAAAATATACTTACCGAAAAAGCTAATTACATTGCGATAAGCAAGAAAACCTCCAAATAAAACGTCATCCCAATGAAATTTGTATCTGTAGTACATATATGATAATAACACCTCCGCTGCGAACAACATGCAATAAAAAAAATAAGCTCTTGATTAAGTTTCATAAACCTATTAACCTTTCTCTATATCAGACCCTTAAATCAGTCAGCTACACACTCAGCCAAAATAATTTCATCACCTTAACTTTTGTTGTATCTTTTCTGGTGTTGTATCCATTCAATGATTAATATGAAATGTTTCCAATTCATTAAACCATGTACAGTTCATAGCTTTATACTGTCAATTTTTTAATTGATTGTTATGGATGTATACGCTAGTGGAAGGCAAAAAAAGAATAAAGTAATGCCAGTTAGCCACGATGAAGAATTGATTACGACGGTGTCCAGGTGATCTTAACCTAACCTCCCTAGCCCCTATTATCATTAATTATTTTTCCATCACTGCAATTACCATTAAATTAACAAGAAAAGACCAGACACTTTATACACTTGTTATTGGAATCTATATCATTTTTAAATAAAGTTTGTTAACGAAAAAACATCGTTGAAATCAAATCAAACAATTCCAACCTTGTGTCAATATTACATAAAGCCACACAAATGACAACACAAAATGAGTGATTCAGGTCTATTGATTAATTTTAGCCTCTCTCATTATTTTAACAAACTTAACTTTACGATTTTATTGTAAGTTATAGTATCAATAAGAAAATTAATTATGTTTTAATAAAAGAATAATTTACCAGATAGGAATACTCTATCTCCAAGAGTAACGATCAATAATAAAAATATTATTTTTCTTCGGTTGCCTTCTCTCTTCCGTGTCAGGCAATAGAATGCATTTAATGGTAGCTTCCAGTTTAAGACGGACACTTTGTTATCGCTGTTAATATTAACATCTTTCACGGCGTATATCACATAAAACAGGGATGACAGCTGAAAATTTAATTATGGGATAAATTATATCATAAAGAACAATATTGCACATAAGGATACTGAATAGACATACAAATTACTAAAATAAAATCATTACGTATAATATTATGATATCCAGATAATTATTTATCATTAATAGATTGATCTATATATCATTTTCCAAATTTCAGTTTGGAAACTCAATGGAACGACTTTTTAATTGTGGTGCAAAACTAAATTAAGTTTGACGGCCTCGGTACTCCAGCGGTTTAGCACACCACCTTACTTCCGTACTTTGGTTCGAACCCGCAACCATCCTTTTCCTTTCCTTGCACAACATAAACATTTGTTCTCATCAGTATGATTGTTGTATTGGTCTGGGTGTTTTCTATGTATAATATGTATGTATTTAGGAAAAAAATCTATGTATTTGTATCAGTTATCTAGTACCCATAAAACATGCTGTAACTATCTTAACTTCTAGATAGCGGAAACTTGATATAAATACATTATTTGGTAAATAGATAATATACGAGCACATAGAAACATCCAGACCAATATCTACAAACGATCATACTCAGGAATTGTTTGTGCCGTGCGAGGAATTGAACCCGCGTCCATTCGTCTGTTAGACCACCGAGACTATCATATGATCAATACATTTTAATGAGTAATCAAATGTAATACCTGTAGTAATAAAACAAAAGGGAACACAGCGTAGAATCCTAAATTTCGATACAGAACAGGGCCTAGTACTGCGCCCACCACCTGAGATATTTGTATAACGGCGCGATGTCCGCCCATGGTACGAGTGACGTCACGACCTGTTGCATGGCACACCTGAAATGAAGTTTAAATATATCCACATAAATACATTAATAAATATTCAAGCGCCTGCATATTATAGGTAAGCAAATATTTTTAGAAGAGCATTCATTATTTATAAACGGAAAGTGATATTTCCACACTCATACACATTTGCCGTAAACTAACTGAGTTACTTGCTAACTTCCGTTATTATTTTATAATTGATTCAATTATTATATAAATGCCAATCTTTCTCGACTTCCCACGGGTCTACAATTGATATAATATACATGTAACTATGTATTGCTACTACCTATTATTCATATAAATTATTATAACATAAAGGAAATTCTCGAAATGGCAATGAAATCTGTATCAGAATGGTAAACTTGAGAGAGAATGATCTCATTAATTTGTTTAAACAGAATGAATTAGTAATAGCGAATGAATACAATATAAAAATGGAACAAATAATAAAAATCTTGTTGGTGCGAAGAGATAGAAATTAATTACTGTTGTTAGTACATTATTTATCAACAATAGATGAGATTACATCTTATAATTCTCTACTTTCTAAATACCTAGTACAGTATAGTTTAAACCACGCAACGGATTTTGATTAGAATTTCGATTATAATTTTCGTATAATTTAGTAGTAGTAGTAATAATAATTAAAAGATACTTCAATCAAAGAGGAATATCATTTGTTTAATGTTTTATAAATTAATGTTAAACGCTAACTGTATACGGAAATTAGATTTTTTCTTACCCAATGTATCTCTATAATAAAGTTCATAAATTTTAGTATACCGATAGGTTGAACCTTGGCAAAGCACTTAAGCCACTTATTGTTATTATATGTGGTTAAAAATAACCTTGAAGGGATGAAATAGGGAAACAAGCTTGGTATAGCTATAGGGAATCAATAATTTTAAGTATATTGACATATGTAATGTATCTTGTATAAAACTCGTAATAATTATACATAACGGTTTCAGTATGAAGCATTTTTTGCAAAAATGTATGTGTATAATAATAGACGACCTGTTAATATAAGTTTTCTCACAGTCTGAGTGCTAAGCAATTTTTACTACACTCTGCAAAAGCGCTACGTAGCAAAAGGCGTACTAGGACATGAACACGTACTACGTAAATAACGAGTATCATGTAGTAAAATTATAAAAATTATTATACTTACATCTCCAATATGACTAAAAGCAGCTGCCAAAAGCAAACCAAAATTTCCACCCAAGGATATTGGTATCTGAACAGTATATAATACTTGTGCAGTAGAGGCCCCTGGAAATATAATCATCAATAGAACTCCAGTGGTCATGATGCTCATCCCTATTAAGGGCATTATGAGTAAGGGTTTTCGGCGCCCACTGCAATCGCTCCACGGACCCAAGAATAAGAGAACTATAGCGGAGATCAGAGAGCCAATAAAGCTCCTACTAACGTTGACATTTGTCACAACCACTTGACTTGCAGCCTAAAATTTCACAAATAAATTAGAAATGTAAAGAAATGAAGATAAAGTATTCTTCAATATTTATAAAAACGATTCTTTATATAAAACCTATTATATCCTGTTTTTGTAAATACATACATAATATACATAGAAAACTTCCAGACCGATACAAACAATCATACTCATGAATACAAATGTGTGTGCCGAGCGAGGAATCGAACCCGCGACTATCGGAATTAAAGCGGTGTGCTAAATTAATCATTAATCAATGTATTAATTACGTAATGCTAAACCCCTAGACCATGGAGGCCGTCAAAGTTTTAGTTTAAAGTATTGATTGATTGAATTCTTTATATTTGATTGCACTAAAGCATTATACAGTTTTAGTAGGAAAAATGTGTACTACTTAGATGATACTGAAGTAATCAAAATCATATATTTATAAAATATTGTAAGTAGATAAAATATAATTAAGGTAGTGCACTCATTGATACATTTGGTATGATTTCGTTACTGAATTACTTCTAAAGTCAATTCGCAAAATTAATTATACGAGTATTATCACACATACATATATTATAACACGATATTTCAGTGAAATAGACCTTCAGGTGCTCAATGCAATAAATGCCGAATGCTAAGATTGAAAAGATAGTTAGACCGTAACATCAAACGAAGCATGACGGAATATAGAGTTAGTTTTAGAGCGCATTGTACTGTTCAGTATAACTAAAAAAGATTTTAGATATATACGGAAGAAGTCTACTTTAGATGAATATCTACATCGATATGATTATCTATATAATTAACAATTGAAACCGGCTGTTAATTTTGTACCTAATTATGTAGGTCATAAGTACTTCAATGACATGTGTTGTAAACTGATTCAAAATTTAAACATTAAATAGTATTGTTTAATTACATAATATAAATCATACTACTTAGTCATCGTCTACATAATAAGTAAGAGATATATTATATTTGTTATGCAATATTACGCATTGTTAGATACTTATGTCTTTATATGATAATGAACCAAGGAGTTTAAATAGTATTGCGGAGGCACTTTCTTACGTATTTCAGCTGCCTAGCAGCTTGCGATGGCTTGCGTTGTAAATTGTGTTAGCTTTGAATGTTGGGGTATTGCATGAAATTACGGGGGATGCATGAAACTTTAGTGCCCTGGAGTCGGAGCTATATACAGCGAATGCCACTTACCATCAGGTGGGACATCAGTTTACTTGACAGTTGAGTCATTCGAGTTAGTTATATTCAATAGTGTTCTATATAAGTTGAGTCACTTATAATTAATTTCTTGAATGCTGGACTAGGCGCCTTCCTGAATTGGCATGTATTTTTAAATGCTTGGTAAAAGAATCTATACCAAACCTTACTCGTTACATCGTCAGGAAACTCTCATTAGTTAAATGCGCTCAGTAAAAAACAAACGAAACGAATTCGTCCCGCCAGGAAGGCGCCTAATGCGACTTTACTCGTGCGGAACCATTAAATTTGAAATGTACTTTTAAGGTAATATTTTCTTAGTAGAAAATATTACCCTAGAACTACCTCTAAGTAGTAAAGTAGCTTACTTTACTTTAGATAATGGATCCATGAAGCGTGTATATATATGTACATATGTTTTTCGTAATACACTCGACTAATTTTTATCTAACTTTTGAGAATGAAAAATGAAATTTGAGAACTGTAGACAAACATCAATATTTACAGAACTTTCTTAAATTTTCGAAAGTTACTAACATTTTTTAACACATAAACTAACTTTACTATGATATTTTAAGTATGTATACTTTTTTTTTTTTTATTGGGTTGTTTGGGCTATTGTCAGATGTGTAGCACCTGTAGCACTGCGACCTACATAGATCTATTGTGCTCGCCCTTTTCAGAGTACGCTACCTAGACCCGTCAGGGACAAGAATTGAAGGATATTCTTAGGAGCGATCGTTTTTATCTCCTCGGGAAAGAGTGTAAACTTTCCAAAGGAGATATTTCGTTTATGCATGAGTGGGCTACAACCACATAGGATGTGAAGCGGCGTTTCCTCTTCAGTTTGGCAGAATCTGCAGATACTTGACGTGCATAGGCCTAGCTTAGCCATATGCTTGTTCAATTTGCAGTGTCCTGTGAGGGCCCTAGTCATCATGCATATGTTGTTTTTACTCAATAGCAGTAATCTATTGGAGTATTTGGTCGAGAAGCCCGATATTAGGTCTTTTGAATGTATTAATCCTGGCATTTCTTTAGAAATATATATGCATGCATGTATACTTTAGAAATATATATTATCCATGTTTTTCGATAAGCATTTTTGCATTTAGTTGGCTATCATCTTATTAGTAGCTGCTACTACTATTATTGATTTATTATCTAGTATCAGAATGACATGGCGGATTGATATGTAAACTATAATAGTAGTATCCCAGTAGATTTACGAATTTTACGAAGAGAGCACAGAAATGGAAAATATAGTTATTCTTACCTCAGCTGTTCGAAACTCTTCTCCAACACCTTTACTACATATTTCTGTGGAGTATCCCAAATCTACCGTACACGCTGTGCGTAAATAAAAATTCTGCAGCGAAGTTTGTCCAAGATTTATCGCTATCATGGAACCAGCCAAAGCCGGTTCCAAAAGTAGTCGCCATTTTTTAGGATCACTCTTCTTTTGTGCGTTGTTATTCTGAATTTGTGATTGTGCATCTCTCGTTGAGTTTGGGCTAGAATTGAACATTATAATTTTATCATTAATAATATGAGATAATTAGACAAACTACACATTTTTACTTTGGAGTGGTTAGTACGGTTAATATTTGTATATTAAATATTATAGTAAAGTAGTAGAAATGTCGAATACGAATCAATTGTATGTTTTTTTAAATAATGCTATGGTAATACAAATTTTATTAAGTGACTACACCTCTCAATCCTTTTTTTTAAACCTCCCTATATAACGTCAATTTTATTTATATATGTATTTCTTAGTACCAGTTGACATAAAGGCACCGAACAATTTTGAAAATTAATCTTGGATTGCAGTACGTAATTTGCGTGCTGTCATATCGACACGCACAAAGGTAGACTAAAAACCTAAAAGCTGTAAAGAAAAACACGATAATTTGTATAGTAGTAGCTACTCGCCCCGGATTCGCACGTGGTGGTATTATATATATAAACCTTCCTCTAGAATCATCATTATCATCATCGCAGCCCGGAAGACGTCCACTGCTGGACATAGGCCTCCCCCAAAGATCTCCACGAATCACTCTATTTAAAAAACTGCTTTAAAAACCGTTGCGTAGTTTTAAAGATTTAAGCTTGCATAGGGACAGACAGCGACAGCGACTTTGTTTTATACTATGTAATGATGATGATGATGTACAAATGGGAGATGTATGTCAGCTTTTTGTATTGATTTATTTCTTTTGGGAATTTGCAAAATGGTTATCATCTAAATGATTTTTTTTTAAATATACAAGTGTACAGAAAATAAATATAATTATATAGCAATAAACTTACTATACAAATTAACATCTTATAATACATATTTAATGACATTGATAAATATATAAAAATAGAAAAGAATAATACAAACCTCAGTTGTTCAAATTCCTGCGGATCAGGTGTTAATTGGGACATGTTCAATTTTTAAGTCGGCTCAATGTAAAATATAAATAAATAATATTGCATAATAACAAATATAAATACCTAAATTATACCACACATCACATTGTAAGCGTACGACGCGTGTGTAGCGGCACACAACACTTTTACTAATACGACTCGATAAGATAGTGCTTGTTTGTTAGTTGCTAATGAAATGCTAACTCAAATATTGATAATTTCTTTGATCACACAATGAATGACCTATTCGAAGTGCACGAACTGTTGTCATATGACAGATAAAGGGGTACAGTAGCGCGATATTGAAGTTCATTTCAGGACAATTTAGCTCTATTGTATCAATTGAACTCGGTCAAAGAGATAGTAACAGATAAAGGATACATGCAACATTATCATGATATGATAGCCGGTAACCAAGTTATATCCTGTTTTGTTTTGTAAAGCATTGTCTAATCTTTGGTAACGCCGATATAATTAGCAGTGAGTGAATGTCCTATTAAAAACTGTGTTTTTTGTATGTGTAATATCTATTAAATAACCCTTATTTAATAGATATTACACACACAAAAAACAATGTTTATTCTCGGCTATAATGGTTTCCTGTACGACAGAAAGAGGTTAGATAGCGAAGAGGGACGAAAAGAAGTCTACATCTAGCTTCACTTCGTCACTCTTCGCTATGTAAGACTTTTTTTAAACCCTTATTTAAAAATGTGCATATATATATTAGTTATCTCAGATAGTCTAATCAGTATAAGTCAACCCAAATTATATGTATATCTACTCATACGTAAACATATATTTGTATAAGTACTAATACTTAGTAGTAATATATACATAACAAGTAAAATGTATGAAAATATGTAATAGCTGGAATAAATAAAAGGCTTTTATCATTACGCTTCCGTCATAGAAATTCACATATTTAATAAAAGGACAAATATGTAAAGACAGACTGACATTTGATGCACTGATAATTCCGAAAAAATAAAATTTTAGTACTTTTAGTATTAACTTTTTTTAACATAATTCCACAATCTTTTTTTATGTTTTGAATACATAAAAACATCTACAATCATTTAATTATAACGTCTTATTCTGGCGCACATATACGAATAATAGAATATTTATACTTTTTCAACATTTATCATATCATTGAGATTCAATTTAACAAACCACAATTAATTCTAATAATATACAATAATTATTAGAATTAATTGTGTATATATAAAACGGAAGATAATATGATATATATTAATAAACGCTAGTACAATCTTTTTAATTTACGCCAGTCATATTTAGTACCTACGTGATACGAATCACATTCACGCTTTAGTGGTCATCATTTATTTTAAATTTAAAATTAACAATATTGATTTCTCCTATGATATGTTTTCCTACATAGATAAGTCAGAGGCATCGGCAACCATGGATGTCATTGTTATAATCAACTGAACCAATATGCTCATATTCGGTGTGTATGTGTACTTAAATACAACGCAGAAGAAGGCGAATCTACCACCATCTCTCGAACTTTTTATTAGTTTTTTATTTAGCTGTCTATAACAAGAAAATGTGTGAAAAATGTATGGTATCACATTAAGTTTTATTTTGGTTTCGGGCAGTTTATTATAACTATTGAGTCCAAGTCAGATTGTAAACCACTAGGCCACGACATCATCTTATAATTACTAACTATATATGAAAGTTGTTAATTGAATGATTGTTAAAAATCAACTTTAATATTTAATTTAGTCGGAATATGCTATGTTCTGAGATTATTAAATATGTCACTTTTGACTACACATAGGATTTACTTTGTATAATCCGCAGATGAAATAAGTATCTATCATATATTTGTCCTTATTATCTCATCAACACGACAAGTCTACAAAGCGATTTCAATTATGGTTCATGTACATGTTTATATTCATGTATATTCCCTTCTTGTTTTATGAACAAGAAGGGATTAAAAAATAAATCTGCCCACAAATTTCGGATTATTTAAATAAGTAGATACTTTAGTCTCTTTAAACCGTCAATATTTTTTTAATTATTTTAGACCAAAAATAGAAATTTATCGAATTTCCAGGTAATACACACGGCCATATCAAATGTCTTAATGACAAGCTACTTAATATGAGTTCACTGACCGCTCGCATGTTGCAAACTTAAAGAATGTCATTTTTGATAATTTTTATGTGTAGTTCCTATTATCTCATAGAAAATAGGTACTTACACAGTTTACTATATAATATAGATTTTCTAACTCTTAATGTATAGTTTTATATTTAATCTAACTAATCATGATTTTTTTTAAATAAAAAAAATGAGCCCGATGCAAATAATTTCCATAGGACTCAGATGGTTTATTTATGTCACTGATATTGATAACAAGAATTGTACTAATGGGAACCAGGGGCCCTATAGGTAATAATGTATCCTGTCAAATTAACCTCCACGCGCTTGTTTATTGTTTATTAAACTTTTTATTAGAAACATACAGCGAATGTATTATAAAAAAAATATTTTGGTATGACGAAAACGTTCAAGGTTTAGAAACAACCAGTTTTCGAACAACTTTTAGTCATTGCTATCATTTTTGTTAATTGAAAGGATTTGCTACAATATTGATCTTAAAACGATTCTGTCACCATTGAAGACCGTTTGTTGGTAAAATTAAAACAATAGAGTCAGTTTCCAGATAATCTCATCAATTTTGCGTTAATTGTTAGTTATCTTTGTAAAAGCAGGCAGTTTACTAATACTTATTTATCTCTAAGTAAAGCTTAAACTATATATCTTATAATCTCTTACTATGAAAAATTACGAGATTTAGAATGTATTTTTTACATAAAATGACAGAAGACGTTTTCAGAACTACACCAAAAAGATTTGTAGAAATAACATTGAATGTAACATAATGATAATGTTCTTCGACAATTGACAGAACAACATTTAGTCACAATATAAGCAGAGCTTAAGTTATGAAACAACTAATTAATATAATTAGATTTTTTGTAAATATAGACATAATATACTTTGAAAACAACCAGACCAATATAAACAGTTATACCTACTGATAAATACAAATGTTTGTACAGTGCGAGGATCGAACCCGTTACCATCGGAAGTAAAGCGGTGTGCTAAACCGCTAGACCGCCAAAGCCGTCAAAATACTTACATAATATGTGTCCAAAAGCATTGATAAAATTATTAATTTAACTATACATTACTTTAGATATCGAGTTTTAATTTATGCAACTAGAATGACATTCCTGAAATATACCTTGGCAATAATTTAGAATTCGTAATGAAAAAAGAAAGAGTCGAAGTCATAACTCTCGTATGTGTCTTTAACAATTCGAAACAATACAACCGTAACAATCGATTCCACGCCTTTATTCTAGTAAAATGGCACTAATATATTTGTCGATTAATAATGTATGACAAACCACAGTGAATGAACGACACTGGACATTGCGCATAGGATCTGAATAGTAACATACACCTATGCAATATTTTCACGGTCGTGTTTGAAGCCAGCTCTAAAATAAAACAGTCGAGTATTCGAACTTGCGCGTGCGTCGGTCGGTTGGCACGCAACAATTTGCAGTTACGCGAAGTACGACCCATTATGTATTTAATTATCTGATAATAAACTAAGCATATCAATTTATTGCTTGTCTGTATATAATTGGCTATTATGACCTGTTTACTTATGTATCAAAACAACACAGTTACTAAGTGCATATAATATTTAATAGTTTGTCGTTCAATCATAATCGAGTCTAATAATATGTCTTGAAGTGTATTATGAGGTGTTGTCAAATTCGTTTATTCCTTTTGCTATTTTTGTTCCTTTTTTCAGTGTCATCGTTATTATTATTATTATTTTATATTATTAACTGATGTATATGAATTGAATGTATTTTGCACAGAATACATGACATAGCTAAGTCTTTCACTCACAGTATTCAAAGTTACTAACTTTAAAGCGTTTTTGAATTATGCGTATTTTAGTTTTAGGTTTATAGACAAGTTTTTGAATACTGTAGATACATTCATATCAATGGCAATCAGATGTACCGTGTAATACTCTAATATTACAAGTATGCATGAACTGTACCTACTACTCTATCAGACTGAACGTATGTTTGAATGATATTCATTGTATATTATTATGTAATAAGAGTATAATTTGTTCCACAAAAACTAGCTATAGTTTCTAATTATGCTTTAATTTATATATGGAAAGTAGGTATAACTAAATAAAAAATCTATGTTATTAAGAAAATCTTTTAGGGGTTAAATAGTGTAGTAGTTAGTGTGAAATAGTCAATTTTACGTGCGGTCAACAAAATTAATATTCTATATTATGAATAAAATACATATAATATCCAGATTCCATATAATTTCTAACGTAAATAGTCATATAAATATTTCTTACAACTAGTCAGTCAAATTAACGATGCCTTAATAATGTTAATTAAACTGCTATCAGTGTCTAAAAACAAGTTTAGAATCAAGTGTTTCAGTCGGAAAAGCATTTTATGCCAAAATGTACCCTAACTACAAAGTGAAGAAGAATCATTTCGTTTAAAAGTAAATAAATTCAGAGTCATACAAAACGACTTTACATATCCAGTTCGTAGGAAATTTTCGTTACAGGCAGCACACGTTTATAACTGAGTGAAATACTGTGTCATGTATAAGTGCAAGTGTAGTAATTAGTGCATATTCTGGATTTAAAAAATAACACATCATATAGGAGTTGGCCACAGGTAAATTTAATATAATTACCTATTTGGAAACATATATATTAAAACCGAAGCAAATTTATAAATTAAAACAACTGAATGTTTAATGAACAGATATTTATACAATGAATTTGCAATTTTTCAGTTGTAACGGTTGGATTGGGTACATATAGTAATGCCTATACCACAGAATTACAGTAATATAAAGAATTATTAACCAAAAAGTCATAGATTCCACAAATATAATATCTGCTGTCACCGCATTCCTTACGGGGTAGCTAGAGAGCACTGAAAGTCAAGGTCTCTATTCCTATGCACATAGGTATTGTGCATAATACACTTTGATGAATGTATTTTATGTATTACGGCATCCTTGGGAAAATAGTACAATAGTACTGTATCTCAATGTAAAGTATCTAACAGTAAAAAAACTGCGTAAA